AGGAAGGAAGGAAGGAAGGAAGGAAGGAAGGAAGGAAGGAAGGAAGGAAGGAAGGAAGAAGTTAATTACGGGAACTAAATAAAGAAGTCAGTATGTGACCATTTAAATCACCTCACCTTATCCATCAAGTAGGTAGCAGCAGAAAACCTTTTAACCAAGAACGTATTCCACATCATCAACGCAATACCTACACAGCAAATGAAAGATGAACAGAGGGTTACAGATGCAACTTCAGCAGACTTGTAACTCTCTTCCCCAAGCTTGTGGACTCTCTATTTACATATTGTTTCTTGCATCTTACACAGAATTTTCATTTTTAATGAAAGAATAAGTGAACAGAAGAGTACAGCCATAAACAGTAATTATAAAATTCCTATCACATGTAGCAAGAAAAATATCATCACCACCATCATCATAACATCACAGAGACTCCAGAAAGGCTTAGAATGTTTGTTTGCTTGCTTGGCTGTGCTGGGGCTGTGCTGGGGGTGGGACACAGGGCCCTGCACATGCTCAGCAAGGCTCTTTTACTGATTAGCAGTCCTGGCTCTCAAGCTTTGGTGAAAGTATGAAACAGGCTGAGACAGTGATTTGGGAAAACCTCTTGGGAAATGTCTGTTAACATGGTACCTACTGGTCTCCCAGCACATCTCTGAAATTCATCATAAAAGACATGCACAAATTGTTGAGAACAACTTAATTCTTATGTAAAAGTATTAAAATATTAAAAGTATGTCAAGGTAGCCAGATGTGGTGGCTCGTGCCTGTAATGCCAACCTTTGGGAGGAAAAGGCAAGAAGATCAGGAGTTCAAGGGTGGCCTGGGCAACACGAGACCTTACTGCAAGAGGAAACAAACAAGCACCCACCCCCAAAGAGAAAAAGCACTTTAAAACATTAAAAATACTTAAAGAAGAAACTCAGCTAAGCAAACAAGAACAAAACCTGTGCTTTTATTTACATAGCAAAGCAGCTGGCAACCCATAGTAGTCCCCAGGAGGAAGCAGTTACAAGGGGAACTTTGCAAAGAGTAAGATGTTGTTGGAGGATGTAAGCTTAACAATTCATGTCCTGTTACGGCAGGGGCTCCCATGAGTCCATGAGGCCTTAACATCTGCTACTCACCGTTTTGAACATGTGCATTAAGAATGCGCTTCAAGTGTTCTATGGACCTAACCAAAAAGCGTGCTTCCTTAGACAGGAGAGAGAGAGAAGATAAAGGTTACTTCACATCAATGAAAACCTTTTCTTTTTTTTTTTTCCTTTTATTTTATTTTACAATACCATTCAGTTCTACATATCAGCCACAGGTTCCCCTGTTCTCCCCCCTCCCACCCCTTACCCTTACCCCCAGCCCACCCCCCATTCCCACCTCCTCCAGGGCAAAGCCTCCCCCGAGGTCTGTGATCAACCTGGTAGACTCGGTCCAGGCAGGTCCAATCCCCTCCTCCCAGACTGAGCCAAGCGTCTCTGCATAAGTCCCAGGTTTCAAACAGCCAACTCATGCAATGAGCACAGGACCCGGTCCCACTGCCTAGATGCCTCCCAAACAGATCAAGCCAATCAACTGTCTCACCTATTCAGAGGGCCTGATCCAGCTGGGGGCCCCTCAGCCT